AATCTTTTAAAATTAAGTAGCTTTAAATTTTATTAAGCTTTTATGAAGATTACTTTGCAATCTTCATTAATTTATTGTTTTAAAAATTAATCATTTGAGCTATAACATGGCATACGATATGGCAGAAGAGAATGAGGCAAGTAGACGAGAGCCTGGCTTCTCCTAGCTCTCTCCCTTGCTAACTGTGTGACCTGGGACAGGTAGGGGTCCCTTCCAGGCCCTGCTAAATTAGGAGCCAGCAAAGTACCCCTCAGGCTCTTTCTAGCCCTAAGCATCCTGTTCTTAAAGACTAGGGCAGAGGAGGGGAAAGGGAAACAAATGGGGGTGGAAACAAAATATTTTAAGTGGAAAAAAACTTATTTTCCAATTTATAATTTTACACAGCTTCCTCCACATTACTAGACTTCTCTCCTAATTTAATATGCAGTTTTGAGTAATCAAGAAAAGGAGGAACCACAAATAAACCAAAATGATAACGGATAAATATAACCATAGAAACAGAGCTCAAAAATTGTGAGACTGCTAAGGGTTTTTAAAAAATGAAATCTCAGTAAAATGAATGATATCCTAGAAAACTATAAATTAGAAAATTGATTCCATAAAGCACAGAAAACTTACATGCAGATCAAAATAACAAGAAAGAAGTCTGGGAAGCAACATGATTGCTTCCCAAACATGGAAGCTTCCCATGCTTCCCAACATGGCAAGCTGCTAAAGGCAGGTAGGTAACTTGGAGTCGGACAGCTTGGGTTCATATCCCAGTTCGTTCTCTGCAAGAGCTTGATCTGTTTACCCTCTCAAAGCCTCAATTTTCTTGTCTGTAAGATGAAAACAATAATAACGGATTCTCAGATGAATATAAATGACACCTACATCTGAGGATGAAATAAGATGAGGTGTATAGTCACTATACTTTTGTCACATACTTATAAGCATCTAAGAAATGATTGCTACTATTATTTAGAAATTGAAAGCATTATCAGAGCTATCTACTAGAAATCTGTGTTCATACAATTAGTTTTACAGATGAGTTATTTGAAACTTCTAAGGAACACGTGATTCTTATGCTATGTAAGAATCCAGGGCACAGGAAAAGATCAAAAACTCTCCAGCCTCCTCTCACTTATGAATGCAGAGCTAAATATATAATAATACCAAGAAGTTGTTCCAGAGACGTCCAGGATTCAATTGTCACAATGATGAAAATGAATGGTGAGTATTCACTCTGAGCTTTTGTCCTCTTGTTCTACAAGAACAGACATAATTACCTTGCCCTGTGCAAGGACACCAAGCCTTAGAGAGGTTAAGCAACTCGTCTTGGGCCCCACTCTGAAAGAGTCAGGTTTCAAACTCAAGCCCATCTGAATTAAAAGCCAAACTCTCAATCATTATAAGGAACTGTCTTTTAAAAAATAATATAAATACAGCATCAATAAATTAAATTTTAAAAATAATGATCTCAGTAGATGCCAAAAAACACTTGAAAAAATTGAATAATCATTTTTTATGTTTAAGTTAATAAAATAAAAATATGAGGATTGTTTCTTACTCTAATAAAGAATATATCTTCTATATGAATAATTAACATCTTACCAAATGGTAAAATATTTTAGTAGTTATTTGAAAACAAGAATCTCTACTGTAATCATTTTTAAAAATTAGTCCTAAAAATTCTAAATTCCTGAAAGTTTGAAGTTCCTCCAACCAATCTTTGACCTATAATAATAAGGATATTGACTATTTATCGAGCATGGTCTGCGTGGTAGGCATTTGTCTATATACTAATGCATCCAGTCCTCACAACCACCTTAGAAGGTAGATGCATCATTATTTCTATTTTACAGAAGACAAAACTAAGACACAGAGAACTTAAGTAACTTGCTCAGGATAATGAGAGGAGTTAATGTGGCTTTGTCCCCAGGAGGGCCGGCAACGCAGCCTGAGCTCATAACTGATGCATGAAAGAAATGAAAGTGTGGGTTTGGGCCAGGAAAAGTCAAATGCATCCTTATTTGAAAAATATGATATAGCTAGAAATCCCAAAAGAATCCATTGAAAAACTAGTGAAGTTAATGAGACTGCTCAGGAAAGTCCTGAGGGCGTGATAAATGTTCTAAAATTCCCAGCTATTCCCTCTATTGTTCTAGCAATAGCCAGATAGAAGTAGAGCTGGGGGAGAGGGAACCATGAGCCTTAGCAACCATCACAACAGATATATCTAAGAATAATTCTAAGTATAAGAAAGTTATTTTGAAGAAAATAATAAGAATTTACTGAAAATCTAAAAGACAAACTAACAGAAAGACATGTTTCAGATTGGGAAATTAGAAGACTAAAAAACAAATGAACCTGAAGTTCATTTCTTGGTTTAATTTAATTCCAATCAAAATTACAGTGAGAATTTGTAATAACTTAAAATTTTTCTAAAATTCACCTGGAGGAAAAATAATAACAGTCAAAAAGAGTTAAAAAGAAATTGGAAAGAAAGTCTGAAAAGGAATTGCTCTGAGCTGGAACCCTGACTGTCACTCTGAGAGTGGCACAGGTTTGAAAAACACGTGCCGTGTGCATAATAAGCACACCATGAAAGTGGTCCACAGAGCACGGGGAGAAAGGAAGGGCCATTAAGAAATCTGGTGCATGGGCATGCCAGTATTCATAGCAGCACAGTTCACAATAGCCAAGTGCGGGAAACAGCCTAAGTGCCCATCAGTAAGTGAGTGGATCAAAAAATGCTGGTACATTTACACAATGGAATACTATGCAGCAGAAAGAAAGAAGAAGCTCCTACCCTTCAAGACACCATGGGTAGAACTAGAGAACATTATGCTAAGCGAAACAAGCCAAGTGGTAAAAGAGAAATACCATATATCTCACCTATAAGTGGAACCTAATCAACTTAACAAACAAGCAAGCAAAATACAACCAGAGTCTTTGAAATAAAGAACAAACTGACAGTAACCAGAGAGGAGGGCAGAGAGGGATAATAGGGGATAACAGGGGGATGCCATCAAGGAACATGTTTGAAGGACACATGGACAAAACCAAAGGGGGAAGTGGGTTCAAGAGTGGGAGGCAGAGATGGGTGGGATGGAGGCAAGGGGTGGTAAAATGAAAATGGAGACAATTGTACCTGAACCACAATAAAAAAATTAAATTTAAAAAATCTTGCACATAGGATAATAAATTAACTACCTATAAGGAAAGAGAAAATAACTAAGTTCCAGATATGATATAATAAAATACATTTCAAAGCAACTAAGGAAGTAAATATTTTTAAATTAAGATACTAAAATCAGAAGTAAATAGGATTGGCTATTCACACATTCAATAATATTTATTAAATCCCCAGATGGGAGAAAACTTTCTGAACTTATAGAAGAAATCACAAAGCAACCCAAGCAAAATCCTTTAAATAGGATTTAAAGGCAAACAGAAAAAAAACTAGAAAAATTATGTGCAAAGATCTTATATTTTTTAACAAAAGAAAATGATAAATGGATAAATGGTATGGAACAGACAAATCACCAACAATCCGGAAAGGGAGCAAAGCTGTTACTGCAAGGCAGCTACACCCACTGTCAGCCACAAAAGCAGAAAATGGGCAATGATCTAATGGAAAGATGACAAATAAATTAGGGTGAAGGTAGAAAATGAAATGTTATATACACATTTAAAATTATGTTTGGGAAGAATTAATCTGGGGAAGAGTCTTTTCTGTGAAAATGTACAATACAGTTATATTTTGCTACAAACAGTGTGATCACAACTCTGTAAAAAGTAAACATAAAAAGAATAAAATTTTACTCGAACAACAATTAAAATTTAAAAAAGAATAAAATGTGTAAAGAACTAAAACTCTGGGTCATTAAACATTTTGTCTAGTATGTTATTTTAGTAATAACCTGATTCAATTCACCAAATCCTGGAATAGTTCATTGACAATAATATCGCATATAAAATATAGATTTATTCATGAATATAAATTTATAAAAATTGGGGATTCTATTTAAATGTACTTTGTTCAAAAGGGAGGAATGGAAGAAAACATGCCTAAATGTTAACAAAACTGGGTATTGGAATTGTGGATGATGTCTTATTTGATTCTTTATACTATCTGTTACTGTCAAAGTTTTATGCAATTAACATGTATTTTTTTCCAATCAGGAAGAAAATAATATCTTAAGAGTATTAAAATAAGCTCAGAAATTCTGCATGGCTTAAATTGGCACAATACCCAATTTATCTATACAAAAATTTATTTACATCTAAATTGTATCTCACCATGTCAGTGGAACATTGAGATAATCAGATAAATGTCTGCATTTCAATCAATCAAATATTTATTGAGCAATCTATATACAAAATCCTGTGTGAAATATTCTGCTAGACCTGAATAAGGAGAGAACACCATCTGAATATCAACTCTCAAGAGCTTGTATTTTACTTAGAAAATCAAGACATTAATATGTGAGAAGATAAAAAAGCAGGAGAGATACCACAACAGAGCATGATGAATTGTCAGAATATATGATATTCCAGAGGAAAAAGAGATTCCACCCAGAATAATACTCAGAGAGGGGCCACCGAGAGGGAATTTTATTTGAAGAATGGATAGGTAATGGATGGATGGTGAGGGGGGAACAGCATTCAGCAGGCACTGTCTCCTACCCCTGACTGTAGGGGACGCGTTAACAGGACCGATATTCTTCCACAAAGTTCAATACAGATTCCATACCCCTGTGGATAAGACCATGTGGGAGAAAGCCAGGTGCACGCAAGGCAACCTCACAAGTATGAGCAGGAAAATGGTGAGGGGCAGGGACTTGGTGACCAGACAGACTGGTCACCAAGAAAGAGCAACCTGCAATTGAATCCTACATCCTGCGATGTCAACACATAAATGGAAAATCCCCTCTGAAAACTATATATGTATGTTCACAAACAGACATGCATTCCTCAAAATCATTTAAAATCCTACCTACCCAAACAATACTTACTTCCCGGACCACGAGCAAAGTCTTATCCCAGCCTGTGTGTTTCAGCTATGTCCTGAGGGACACCTCTCCCACCAGCCCCCAGCCAGACCCAGAAGCTTCTCTGTGACTGGAGGTCAGTCACAAATGTTTCATCATTTCCAGCAGGGTGGGGGCTGCTGCTCAGAAGATACAATCTAGCTTAGTTGAGTAGAGCAGGGCAAAGCCACAGATAACACCCCCTCTTTCAGCAAGTTCCCACCCTGTTCCTCCATGCAGACAGGTTATTAGATGGAAGAGATTAGCAGTCTCTTCCTCTCCACGTGAGCTCACATTTAAACACCGCGAACATGCACACCACCTGTTACAGTGGAAGAGCGCTGGGGGAGGAGTCAAGATGCCTGGGTTCAAGTCTCAGCTCTGGCACAAGTTTGCTGCATGAGCTCAGACAAATCACTTTCTCATCAGGGCATTCATGTTCTTCCTCCATAAAATGAAGAAGTAGGTTTTAGATATTAGCAAAAGTCCCTTCCAACTTGGCTCATTTCTCAATGTGTGTGATGTGGCTGTAGACTGAGACAGTATATATGGGACATATGGCAACAGATGAGGATAACTTTTCAAGGACAACTTCTTTGCCTTAAACATTGAATTAGGCCAACCTGAAATGGCTGTTGCAACTGCACAGAGTGACTTCCTAACCGGGCTCTCTGCACCTGCTCGGTTCGCCCCGCCAGCATCGGTATACACTTCTCTCTGCTCCTAGCTCTGCCATGGCCTCTGCAGGATTAACTCTAGCTGCAGTTAACCTTTGGGAATGGAGCCAATATTCTTGGCTGCAGTTAACCTTTGGGAATGGAGCCAATATTCTTGACTCGCTGCTTCAGTTATTCTCGTACATGAGTCCTCTGTAGATGTTGTGTAACATTTGCACTGCTCTGCTCATCTGCATGGACCACTCTTGGACTAGAACCTTCCATGATACCACTCCAGTGCTCAACAACATCAGGCAGTTGTTAAGAATCTTTGAACGTGACATATTTGGATATTTGGGGTCATCCATGGGTCCTCTCATTAGGAGAGGGTTGCAACAATGAAAAGCCAACTTGGCTTGGACCTCAGTGACCTGGATATGAGAGGCATTCGACCTCTCTGGACTACATTTTTGTCACACAGAATTGTAAGGGGTTTTGATTAGATCATCTATGACTCTGCTCTGAAAAGTAAAATAAGAATTATTGACAGTCTGTGTTTTCTTCTCTGTATCCCTGGCTGCCAGAACTCCATCTGTACCTAAGAGGTGCTCAGCAAATGTTCTGCAGCGTGCATACACGAGGAAGTAAATTGAAGTGCTTTCTAATAGGGGATGGGTATGCCCGCATCTCACACACTGACTAATTACATGCTCTTGCTGCAGATGAGTGATTTGCTCACAAAGGCACGTAGTCTGCTCCTGCCCAGAGGCCACTGGGAATGATTTGCTGGCACTCCTTGAACATACCCCCCCCACCAAGGCTCCTCTGCCAAGCCCTGGGTGACATGGCCCTCCCCTCTCTGCTTCCAGCTGACAGACTCCAGCCTCAAAGACCTGGTTCAGGGGAGATCAAAACAGTGATAAACAAAGTTATCACAGCTGTAACATCAGCAGGAAGCTATTTTTGATAGTTTATCACCCGATGGAGAAAAAGCAGCTGATGGAGATGAATGACACTTTCACCTCCCACCCCCCACACCTGTGTCTAAGACCACATCCCTCCCAAGCTCTTTTCCCCTTGCACAAGGTCTCCAACATCTGCGGAACACAATGTCTCCCAGAGGACACAGCTCTTCTCTGCCAGAGAATCACATCTGAAAAGGGTGTGTCAACAGGATTAGGAATTTTTGAAAAGGGCAGAAAAACCCTGCTCACTATCCAATCACCCTAATACATTTTTGCATAATGCTTTACCTGCATACTTAGAGTTTTAAAACAAAAGATTTCCAAACAAGCTTTTAAAACCCACAATTATGGTTATGTCTCTCTCTGCTTAAAACTCTCCAGTGGCTTCCGATTGCACTCAGGATGAAATCCAAGATACTGAACAAATCTATGAAGCTTCCACCACCTGGCAGCCAGCTACCCTTTTAGTGGCATCTCAGGCACTAGCTTTTCTCTTCACACTCTTCCAGGCCCCTCCAAGCTTAGGGCATCTGCAAGTGTGAGTCCCTCTGTGCCCAAACAGGTTTCATGATATCGCTAATGGCTGCCTAATTTCCCATTTGGCTGATATGACCCTAAATTCCAAAACACCCCTTGCATCACTCACTCAGTTGTTTCCAAAGTTTTCACTGCTGGAGACACTACCATGATGGATGAGTGTGTACACACTGGTTTGGGGTGGGGCTTGTTTCAGACAATTTCCTTAGGATTAAGTTCCAGGAGTAGGTGTCTAAGTTGAAGGAACATGTCTGCATCACATTGATCGTCTGCTTTCAGAGCATGATCCATTAGCAGTATTGGAGCCTGTCCTTTTCACCACAAGCTGGATAGCCATAAGTTATCATTTTTCAGTAATTACACATTTTTATTCTTGTGACTGCATTAATTTATATTTTCAAGTCTGTTTATTATTAGTAACAAAATGTTTTACTATTTATTGAGCACCAGCAAGGGCACCAGTTGCTTCATATATACTAACTCATTCAATTCTCACAACTTACAAGGAAGATATCATGGACAATGATATAAGAAATGATACTGATTGTTGACAAGGTTAACTTGCTCAAATTCATAGAGTTGTAGTAAGTAGCAGAATCAGGATTCAAATTCAATAGCCATTTGCTTTATGCAATGTTTTTTCTACCTCTCTATCCCCTAAGTGACTTTCTGCACCAGTTATGAGTTCTGTAGATGGCCGACATACCATGGCTTCAGGTGCAGTGCTGCGAGCTAAGTTCACTAGAACACACACAGGGAGCGCCCGGCCGAGTGCCCTTCCAGGGTTGGCAGTCTGTGGACAGGAGATTCTCACCCTCTGGCTACTCCCACCAACCCTCCTCTCCTTTCAGATTAAATCCTTTATTTTTATTTATTTATTCTTTAGATTTTGTTTATTTATTTTTAGAGAAAGAGAGGGAGAGAAACATTGATGTGCAAGAGAAACATCAGTCGGTTGCTTCTTGCCCTCCCCCAACCTGGGACGTGGACTGAAACACAGGCAGGTGCCCTGACCAGGAATGAAACCACCACCTTTCCTTTTGTGGGATGATACCCAACCCACTGAGACACCAGTCAGGGCAGATGAAATTCTTTATTGATATAAGACTTCACTCTATAACCTGAAGTTTAAACTCAGTAACAGATGCATTAAGATGCTCACCCCCCAGAATTGTTTATGAATCAGTGAACACACATGAAGTACTCTGCTAACTATAAAACAGTCTACCGATGTTAGGTTGGTTATCTTTAAAAAATAGCAAAGGAATAAATGAAGAATGACTGCGGGATTTCTTCTGGGGTAATGGAAATGTTCTAAAATTGATTGTGGTGATGATTGCACACCTCTGTGAATATACTGGAAAATATGGGATTTTACACTTTGAATGAGCGAAATGTACGTTATGTGAATTCTATCTCAGTTAAACTATTATTTAAAAAGTACTCATAAGATATTGAAGGCTTTGTCACTATGGTCACTATGCTATTCCCTCCAAATGATTCTGCCATTCATTCAATCATTCATTCATTCATTCTACAATTATTTCTTGATGATCTGTGATGCACCTGGCTAAGCACTTGGGATACAGAGGTGAAGAGATAGACACAGTCCCTATCCTCACACAGTTGGGATCATGGACTTCAGACGAGAAATGTCAGGAAGGTGTGATAAATGCTCTATTGTGGAAAGAGAAAGGCAGCCAGGGAACATGCAGCACAGGGGCTTGTCTTTGGTCAGAGAGGGCCTCATCTCTGACCTGGGGAGGCTACAGGCAGTGGGAAGGGCATGAGTGGAGGCTCCATGTGGGTGGAAAGAGCCCTGTGAGTTTAAAACACTGCGAACCAGCCAAGGGAAAGGGGAAAGGGAGGCAATGAGTGACAGGCCAGAGAGGTAGGTGTGGGCAGGATCACAGAGGGTCTTATAGGCTTGTTAGGAAGTTTGAATTTATCCAGTGGACAACAAGAACCCATTGATAGTGCATCCATCAATTAAAAGGAGACAAGATCAGGGTTTGTAATGTGGAGAATAGGTCAGAGAAGAGAAAGAGGCAATTAAACAGATTTTTAAAGTATGTAGGAGGTAGAAGTGATAGGATTTGGTGGTTGAACTGCTGCTTGGAGTGGCAGAGGGAGGAGGAGAATTCAAGGTGATTCATAGATTTATAGCTGGGCACCTGGGTGACTGAGTGAGATGGGGAGTCGTGAAGGAGCAGCGGGGGGCCTTCTGCTCCGGATGCAGACACACAGTGGTTAAGGACCAAGACAGTGAAGCCACACTGGCTCTGCCTTCTTGTCGCTGTTACCTAACCTCTTTGTGACTCGGCTTCTAGGAGATGAAGTTAATAATGGCTTTCTCAAGGGCTTTTGTGAGGATTATATGAGTTAACATATGCAAGGCACTCACAATATGCGTGTAAAGATGATATAAGTGTTTATACATTGTAAAGATGGCGCAGTGTGTGTCCTTATTATACACACAAAAGGTGCAGCCCAGGAAGAGTTAGATGTGTGTGTCTGGCAGCAGTGGGAGGGTGTGGATTTCAAAGGCAGCAGCAAGCAGATGTTGCTGAAGTCTTTGGGAGTGAATTCAGAGGGCAAAGTGCCAGGCAAGAGCCCTGAGGTGCTCCAGTATCAGAGGGACAAGCAGAGCCTGCCCAGGGGACCCCAAGGACATGGCAAAGAGACAGATGTTAAGCCTCAAGGAACATCCATGTAACTTGTTGGGGCTTCTGGCTGTTCTTACATTTTGCTTGCTTAGTTGAGACTACCCTAGCTGGAGTGTATCCGGGAGACATCAGTGAATCCAGTAAACCAAGTTTTTAGCATCTATACCCAGAAACACATTTTCAGAGTATATTAAGGGAGTAAACTATTTTTACAAAGCCCGAATACAACCTCCTATAAAAACAAGAA